TATATTTTTCATATATATATATATATATATATATATATATATATATATATGAAGAAATATAGCACACCTTAAGACTATATTTTATATATATATATATATATATATATATATATATATATATATATATATATATATGTTTGTGCGTGTGTTTCTGTGTGTGTGTGCGTGTGTCTTTTCGTAAGTAGTAATGGTACAGCGTTAGTATTTTACTAAATAAGTGTCATAAATAGTGAAATTAAGTAAGTTCATATTTGTATGTGTATTTTAAAAAGAAATCTCTGGCTCTGTTTCATAGAATTTAAATATATACCCTTTAAAATTTTGCTAAGTGTGCCGTAATATTTTCATTTGCTCTTAGGTGTGCCGTTGCTTTAAATGGTTGAGAAGCACTGGTGTAACCGGTTGCAGAAAATGCATGATTTTTACCATCTTCAAAAAAAAAAATTACCTGTGTATAGTACGCCTCCTTAATTTATGAAAAAAAAAACCCCAAAAAAAGACAATTATTTTTTTGGGATAATGATTTTTCCAGATATGTCTTACTATTTAACCCATAGTTTGGGCGAGACGAGATGGATTCATACATTTCTCAAGGGTATTAGTAAAAAAGTTAATGTAACGAACCCAACTGCACACTGAACTCGGCTCTGCGCTTTCTCAAATGTAACATCAACACAACCAGTAACCCCGGAGTCTTGTTTACTAATCATAACTCTACGGTAGGCAACCAAATATTTACTAATATTTGACTGGCGTAGTTTTAGGTCACAGCAGTAGGGCACTTAGCGATGATCGAATTAACTACACTTGCAATGGCCTAGGAGTTTAGTCTGACGCTGCGATCATCTCTCACCCAATCTCCCTATATATATATGTGTGTGTGTGTGTGTGCGTGTGTGTGCGTGTGTGTGTGTGTGTGTGTGTGTGTGTGAGGCAGTAGGCTTCAAGGAAACGCCTTTCATATAATATTACCTCATTAAAACCTCAGTGGTTGATTCTGTTTCCCCAAAAAGTACCCCATTGACGTTTTCTCGCTCAAATGGAGAGAGAAAAAAAAGAAACTTACACAAGATTTCCATTAACATCGGCCGAAAAAAAAGTTCAAGAAAAATAGTTAAGGAAAGAAAGAAAAAACTAGCAAGACAATAGCAGCAAAATAACAATGAAAATAAATATATGAACAGAGAAAAAAAAAACGCAAGATAAATCATGCCTGTAAACAAAGAATAATAGAGAAATATCGTTGTCCAATCAGAATCCGTCGAAAGCACATTGTCAGGCACATTGGATGTTCTGAAACATAGCGAGCATTGTGCTACTCAGTGGTCGTCAAAATAAAGAGGAAATCGTTTTAGATACGAAATTAATTTCTTGGTGAATGCCAGATTTGTTCACCTGACATGTGGACAGGTTCCTGGGTAGAGGCTGCTGTCAAAAAATTACAGGATTACCTCGCCTAAGCTTAGTTTCTTTTAGTACGGGGATCAGAATTGTGTGGTTATTAATTGATGTCTCAGGGTCCGATTATTACAATATGGCTTCCTAATATTTAATCAATATTATAAGCCTAGTAGAGTTCAAAACTAAGGAAAGTAGAATCATAGATAGGAATGAAAGCTTTGGAAATCAGCAATCAAAAATGTAGCATTCTTTGACCGAGCTTAAACACTAAAACAAAATGGCCGTTGACATCAGTTTAAGAAACCTTCCACCCACCGGTGCCGTGTCATCACTGTACTGGCGATGACACAATAAAAAATATGCATCATACGCGACCAAGAAGAACTTTCCGAACACTGTTGGTTGGTTGATTCGTTTTTTTACGGCTTATCAACACTTTTCAGGTTATTTAAAGCCAGGAAATATTTTTAGATTGTAAGAATTTCGGGGGTGGTGAGATAATGTTTTAGTGGTACAAGTCTTACTAATTAATCCATAGCTGGGGGGTGGGTAAGATAAGAAGTAGATTCATACTTTTCCCAAACTTATTACCGCGTAAGCAAATATAAGGAACTCAAGAGGAACTGGACCTCGGTTAACAATTTCGTGCCAATATCTGTTACACTATCCAAGCTCACAGCACCTGGTATTCCCAAGTGGTCACCCGTCTAGGTACTGACCAGGCTCGACGTTGCTTAACTTCGGAGATCTTACGGGGACCGGTGTTTCAACATGATGCAGCCGTAAGATCCGAACGCAGTCAGTTACTATTTACATTATTCGGACTATTGTCCTCATCTTTGTTGCCATATTTATCAAAACGTTTCGGCCGTTGTACGCTCCGGCCTTCTTCAGGTGGTTGGAATGTCGAACTGAACCCTTTATTTCACTCGCTGGGGTAGACTGTTCTAGTTCCACATGCCATGTCTAATTAATGTCAGTTATCAGTTATCTACTGTTAATTTCCCTCTGAAAGTTCTCCACTGTCTCAACCAGGTATTGAACTCACACTCTTTGGGTCCTGTCACTGGATCTAATTGTGACACATGACACAGTGGATAAAGGCGTTAGTTATCGCAGTCAGTCAGTCATTTATGTGCCATACGTGATACACGCATATCTTTGGATACATGACTAACGAGGCAGTAGGTTGCCATCCAAGGCTATAGAACACGGTCTGTCCTGCTACTTAGCTGGGGGAGAAGATGAGGATTCATACCTTTCCCAAGGGTCAGTTATGTGCCATATGGGATACACGCATAGACGATCATGTATCTTTCGATACATGACTGACGAGGCAGCAGGTTGCCATCCAAGGCTATATAACCAGGTCTGTCCTGCTACTTTGCTGGGGGTGGGTGGGAGAAGATGAGGATTCATAACTTTCCCAAGGGTAAGTCAATGAATGTAATGGATTCGACTGGAATTATGAGATCAGTATGATAAGTAATTATTCTTGATTGCTGAGGGTTACATTATAGTAACCAACAATCAACGACTTCATCTTATCTTTAAATTACACTAGACATCAGTAGATATTGGTTAATAAAGGAAAAAACTGAAACGAAAATCAAGTGATTTAATTAAACACAGGTAAACTAAAGGTAACAAGTAATTCTGTTGAAACTTCATCACTGGCATTCCCAAAGTGAATCATTAAATGAATCACAGGTAAAATTGCGTTCAGCTTTTTCATACATTTCGGCATTTCTTGGACCAGTTTCACCTGCATAATGTAAACGTTCATTATTTCCTGTTCATTTATAAAGCTGTGTTGTCGCCATTTTATATTTTTAATTTCGCGCATGCGCGTTATTTGTTTTTGATTTTGTCGACTGAACGCTACAGTAGAGTCAGTTGGGCACCATCCCTGAGAAAAAGCGCACTATGTTGCAATTCACTCCGCCAGAAATTTGGAAACTTCATTCTGTATTGCTTGATATTCATGCTGGAAGCTCAAATACGAACATTTCAGAGTGTTTGATTGTCAATCTAAGGACAGTAAAGATGATTCAGAAAGAGTTGGATGAGCCTAATGGTGATTACCAAGGTGTTTGGAGTGATCACTAGTTATGGCGACGTTATGCTTCCATTCATCTTCCCACAGGGTCTCAGACTCAACACGGAGGCCTACATCAAGTGCCTTGATGAGGTAGTGCTGCCCTGAGTCAAGAGGGTGGCTGCTGGAAGACCTTATGTCTGGAAACAGGACTTTGCACTATTCCAGACATCAGAAGAACCCAGTCATAGCTATCAGACAATTCCTGCGACCATATCACCCCTTACCTCTGACCACTTAACTCCCCAAACTGCAACCCCCTTGATTATTATGTGTGGAGCACAGTTGAGCGAGAGACCAACAAATCTCCTTGTAACACCAAAAATTAACGAAAGGTAAGGTTTATGGCAGCATTCACCAACTCAAACAAGGAGACCATCAAGAAGAGTTGTAGGAGATTCCGAAGTCGTCTGGAGGCTGTCATTGAAGCCAATGGCGATTTTATTGAATAAATTTACTCTTTAGTATTACAAGATATATTTGTGTAATTTTGGTAAATATATCTGTCAGTGTTATTTTCATTTTTACGTAATGTAGGCGACAATTCATACATGCACCCGAGATATCTATCTATCTATCTATCTATCTATCTATCTATCTATCTATCTATCTATCTATCTGTGTGTGTGTGTAATTGTGTAGAAATCCCTCTTTTATACATGTTTCGTTAAAAACGACTGACAAAGTAATGCTGTTAACTTTTTTTTATATCTATCTATATTTCTGGGATGAGTTATTGTAACTATTTGCAGTATTGACATTGTTCGGACTATTGCCCCAATCTTTATTGTCATATTCATGACATTTCGATTGTACACTCCGGCCTTTTTCAGGTGATATACTTTGGAATTAACGAACCAAACCCTTTATTTCATCCACAGGTGTAGATTATTCTAGTTCCACGTGCCATGCCTTTTCTGGATATCTCAGTTTCAGTTAATTCCCTTTAGTAACTCAATACTTTTGTTCACCTCTGCTGAAGCGAGATATTGAACTTGCAACTGGTTGGATGAAGTCACTGGATTACTTCAACGAACACTTTTATCCACTGGGCCATGTTTCCTTGAGGATTAGTCGTAACGCTTTGAATATGCCAATAAAGATGAGGACAACAGTCCGAACAAAAGAACAGTGTAAATAAGTCTTTTATTTAATTTTTCTAGCGCTCTTATATATTTTTTCTTTTCTGGGCATAAATTATATAGAAATTGTCCGAATGTTCAGTATGGCCGAGCGCTTTCGGCTATACTTTTAGCTATTATCAAGGGTGACTCTATTTTTACTTTTAACTGAATATATGGAGTGTTTTATGCCTATATCTAGAATTACAGGAATGTTTTATTTTCCAAACATCGGCAAACTCCACCCGAAACATACTTGTTGACAATACAGATATAATAGCCTCATCCTCATGTAAAAAAAGATAAAAAATGTTGTGAGACCGTAACATACCTACAACATGGACTCTTCCAGGACTATATAAAGTATGCGATATAACACTCTAGGGGAAGAGGAGGAAAGAGAGAGAGAGAGAGAGAGAGAGAGAGAGAGAGAGAGAGAGAGAGAGAGAGAGAGAGAGAGTATTCTAATATCGTAGTATCAGCCGCGTACGACTACCAATATTGGACACTAGCACATAGTAAGCTCCGCTTACACTTACACTATCTTTGTAACCTTTTTGTTTAATATATCTTTCTTACCTCTAATCCGTGTTCCGTGTTTTCCTTCCGTGGTCCCCTCTTTGGTCCCACATCAAAAATAATGGAAGTATCTTATATATAAAATACAGTGTGTGTTTGTGTGTGTGTCCATGTGCCCAAACAACTCCTCCGCTCCCACTGGTCTGATTTCAATGATTCATAGCTCATTCAAAAGCCCTAGGAAAATTTAGCGCAGGATTTTCGTTGAGCTCAGATTCAGGGTTACCGGATTATTCGAGGTTAAAATATATATTGATATATTATACTAGCCATTATCGTTGCATTCATGTTTCAAGGGGTGTAACTCTTATTTTCATTTTGTATGCAAAATTGCAGTGCATGTTTTATTATAAACTAGCTTAAAAACCACCCTATCGGACGGCATTTAAGCTATTTCCTGTGGATGAATCTTGGTTTAGCCATCATCACAATAGCTAGGGATGAGTAGATGTGATTCAACCCCCTACGATGTCAGGTTGTGACACAAGGTCGGTTTAATGTGGGGATCCCGAGTACGTACACCCGGGCAAGGAACAAAAATTCCTCGAGCCCCCGCAACCATCAGTTGCGCTGGTCTATGTGTGTGCACCGATCCTACTCTCTAGAACAACGAGAAGGCGCGGCCTCGGGAAGCTGTTCCCCAGGGCTAGGCACTTCTTAGTATAATTTTCTCAGTTGTCCTTCTGGCCACTGATCAATATCTGCATTATATATTATCTGCTTCTAGGCACTATCATTCTTCAGGTTTAACTAATTTGCATATTGATTTTAAAAAAGTTTATTTCATTAATTAACTCTCCTTCATTACTGTTCTTATATTCAAGGATTGTTTTCATTTTCATATCAAAAATTGTTCTGTTTAGAAATATTTTCTTATATAGTGTAGGAACGCGTTCAAAAATTTGAATTTTACTTGGCCTTCAACAAGGTGACATCTGTTTGTAAAACTTAATTATAACAAGTCAATTTATGAATGAAATTTTCATTTAAAATTTTTATTTCAAATATTCAAGTAGTCAGTATATTTTAATTTTACTTTGCAAAGCGATAGCGAACGGGCGAAGCCTGCTAGTTATTAATAAAATCGAAAAAGCCAACACTGTGTAACGTCAACTATGAACACGGCCAGGGTTTGCTGACCGTGTTTGGAAAATAAAACATTCCCGTAACTCTAAATACATACATTAAAATCCATCTATTATAGTGATAAAAAGAATAGCCGAAAGCACTCAGACATACAGAACATTTTTTACATAATTTATGTCCAGAAAAAAAAAATTATAACAGAAAAATTAGATAAAAAAAAACTTAACCGCAGTACCTTTTCAGTTGGTTTAATGAAACTATATATATATATATATATATATATATATATATATATATATATATATATATATGCGGTTTTTTTTCTGCACTGAATGACCTTCTTATACCGGAAATTGTCTCACCTACCACAAAAAAGTATAAAAAGAAAACTTCTTTGACTGAAATAATGAGAAGCAGTAAACCTGAAAATTAACAATTCTTTCAAATATTGTCCTAATTTATTTACCGTAACGAAACTGAACTGTGAAAATCTTCCTGAGATCATATCTATTGTTCTTCAAAGGACACATTTTCTTACTAACCAAAACACGCACGCACACACGCACACACGCACACACACACAAAATGGCACAAGGGGTGCTTTATTTTTCTTTTATAAAGTCACAACATTTGATGGCTGCAAAAGGAGCACAAAACGGAGGCATTTTCTTTCTAACAAATCAGATGGCAACGACAGTCCGTCTAGTCGGCGCCTCAACGTCGGATACAACAATTAATTCTCAAGTCAGAGATGACGCTTTTATCAAGTTTTATCAAGTTTCGCAAGTGTGGGTACATATATATATATATATATATATATATATATATATATATATATATATATATATATATAGCGAATCAGTCTGTCTGTGGATGAAAAATATATACCCTGAAAAACAGTGACTATTACGGCTAATGATGCAAGACTTTTCGGTAAATCGAATCGAGTTCTCGCAGTCACTGTGTGTTTATCTAAAAATAAATACGCTTAAATTCACCTTTCTCCCTGCTGTGCGCCAACGGCCTAGTGGTGGAATCCCGACGGACGCCAATTCAGTCGGGTTTCGATCCTAGTTAGAGGCAACCGGGCGTCTAGCCACACTGATGTGCTGTGATACAGCGAAACAGTCTATCTGTGGATGACAATATATATATATATATATATATATATATATATATATATATATATATATGAAAATTTCTCCGATTTAACCAGTAGAGAAGACAATATTTATGAATAAAAATGACAATAGGAAAACTAGTAATTGCTGACGCATTTCGTCCAATGTGGACTTTACCAAAGCAAAATACGAAATGAATATAATTTAACAAGGTAACTAATAAAAACAAAAAACTATATATACATATAGGGTACCTCAACTTTTTCGCTGAAAAAACAGCATAGCTAACTTAATAAAAATAGTTTTATCTCCAAAATGTTTATGTTATTATTACGAGGAAATACCAAAGTATTTTATTATTATTTTATTAAATTTTTTAATCCTTTCTAGCACGTACGAAATTTTGGTTAAAAATCTTGTTTTTCTTACGTAATATTACGTAATATTTACGATTAGTGTTTTAATGCCTTTTTTCAGGTGAAAAACACATAGATTTGGAAATTCTTGCAAAAATAAAATAATTGACGGATTTTATAAAACTTTCAGAACTTATCCACAAATAAATTGAATTATTTTTTATTTATTTTTAGAAAACCCTGGGGAAAATATTTTTTACATACGTTAACCTCCACTTAGTTAATTTCATGAAATTTCGAGAAATTAAATTTTCATCAGAAATTTTTTTATTCGTTCAAAACAACTCCGTGGAGATTGTAAATCATATTTTCTTTTTAAACTACTACACATTTCCCGAAAATCTGCTCCGAATCTTAAAATAAAAAATACAATAAAATTATGACATTATTTAATTAGAAAAGCTTTTAATTGCATAGAGTATTGCTGCCATATATGATCTGGAGCCCCTTCTGTTTGTCTCAAGGTCCTTGATAAAATCCAGAGACGGATATGCAGTGTAATTAGCCCTGATCTGGCATCTCGTCTGTAGTCGCTCTCTCACAGAAGTGCTGTCACCTCCCTCTGTCTTTTTTACAAATACTTTCATTGTACATTTTGTTTCGACATTTAATAAACAGCGTCTCATCAGGTAGTTAACAATGAGGGTAATAAACGATTTTATTTAAAATTACAATTTATGAAGCATCATTTCCGCTCTTTGGAAAATTTTACGAACAAGGTACGAAAGAATTTTATAAAGAAAAAAAGAAAGAAAATAAGAAATCAATAAAAGGAAAAGGAAGAGGAAAGAAAAGAAAGGCAAAAGAAAGCATAAGAAATTAATCGTATTAGCGAGAAAGAAAAGAAAGGCAAAAGAAAGAGAGGAGTATATTTAAAATTACACAGATACAAAGGAAGAGGAAAGTTCAAATAAATAACATATGAGAAGATGTTAATATAAGTTAAGCCAATGAAATTTAATTTGGAAAAGAGAATTCGAATTTGAACGGAAATGAAACGCGAACAGATAGTAATACATTGGTTACAATATCGCGTTTCAAAATTAATGGCAGATTCGTGATATTTTTGGGATGAACATGAAACTCTGAGTCGTACTGTCGGCTTTGGGTATTATGTATTTTTTAAGGTAAATTTGTTTTTAACATCCGCGCTAAATATCTCTTGAATGTTTCCCAAATCGCCATAATTCCGTGTAAATGTACATGCTGAACTCCAACTAACAATTAAATTATGAAGGAACCTACCGTTCTGGAGTTATCGACAAGAAAAAATAGGACTTCTTGTTGGTCATTAGTTCCCCCATTACTGCCATCATAAATACTGATTCACTGCGTAGTACTTCCGGTGGCCTTTGGCCTATTTACTTCTTTCCTTGCAGAAAAACACTACGCACTACCGTAAAGAAATGTAATTTTTTTTTGGTAAGTGTAGTTTTATTTATAACAAAATCAAATTAAATAATACAATAAAACCTTTTTTCTGTCTAGAATGGCAATGACAAATTAAAAGAACAAATTAAATAATAATTATAAAGCATTTTTTATATTTTAAAATTGAAAATAAAACAAAAACTAATGCACAAACTTGGTAAAGTAGAGGGGTTGATTGTATTATTTTTTTTTTTAATTTGTCCCCTTTTCTACACAGAAAGAAAATCCTACCCCTAACCCTAACCCTAAAGTTAACCCGGTTTATTGTATTATTTAATTTTTTTTTTAAAATTTGTTCCGTTTTCTTTAGTACAGTGATGGAGGTGCTTCTGAAGAGTTGGAATCCTCAGGAGCAAGCTTTTTCATAGTTTGAAGAATTCAGATATCACACTTTGATCTCAATCCAAATGCTGGGAAGGGTTTTTGAAAGTGTAGAATAATGAAAAAAAGAAGAAAAAAAAAAGAAACAAAAAAGAAAGAAAAAGACATCATTAATAAATTGATAGAAAAATTAATATTTAATAACAATTAAATAACATTATGAAGAAACGAAAAGATAATTACTGAAAGATATTTTAATATTTAAATGTCAATGTGTCATGGAGGCGTGACAGGTGACGTAACGACGAGCCTCCGCATTCGAACGAAATTATAGGTCGAATTTATTGTGACGTCATAATTTCAATGGTCCTTGATTTTTCTTTTTCGCTCCTCCTGCATTTCATAGGAAACAATTATTTTATTTTTTGTTGGGTGGCTGCGTCCTAAAAACATATTAATTTTTTAGTTTGAATATTTTGTTGTACTTTAATTTCGTTATTGAGTTCATCTCCACCTCTCACAACTCATGCCATATAGTTTTATATATTTTTATAAAAAAAGAAAAAAGAAAGACAGTTTTATCTTATGAAATTTTTATGTCATGGTTATTTCAGTGAGATTCCTGTGAATACGCGGTATTGTGGTAAATGTTGGATCAAATGGTGATGAATGAGTTCTTGTGCTGATAGAGTAAATTGTAATGAATGAATGAGTCGCAAACTAGATTACCTATGTTTAGGATAGTCATTGTTGAACAACCTCACCCCAATTCCCCTTCGACCTTGTGCCAAAAATATAATTATATTGCAATAAATAATCATTCTTTTGGAGTGGAACCAACATATTCTCTTTGTTTTTTTTTTGGTTTTTTTTTTTGTTTTTTTTTGTTTTTTTCTTGACATCACTGATGTTATTATTTCTATTTTTAACGGGCACAATTTTCATAAGGATGAGAAGAATTAGTCATGAAAACTTTTATTCATGCAGTGTATATTTCTTTGTTGTTGGGTTGGTGATATTCAGTATTTCCATTGATGTGTCAATTTTGCTGGCAGTTGTTATAATATTGTGCAGGAATTACTATTTCACCTGTAGCAATCTTCAGGCCATGTGTTGTGCTTTGGTTTCACTATTTATATATGCTCTTTCATGGTGCATTATGGGTAGTGAGGTCTATTGTATTATCCTAGCAGTTATTGGGTAGGATAGATATTTTTTTTTAGAAAATTGTATGTTACCAATTTTTTATGTTATGGGTATTTTAGCAGGATCCCTGGGAATGTGTGGTATTGTGGTATATGGTGGATCAAATGGTGATGAATGAGTTCTTGTAGTGATAGAGTAAATTGTAATGAATAAATGGGTCGCAAACTAGATTACCTATGTTTTAGGATAGTCAGTGTTGAACAGCCTGACTCCACTTCTCCTTCGGCCTTGTATCAAAATTATAATTATATTCAAATAAATAATCTAGGAAACAAGTCGAAACAAAGAATGAGGCTTAAGAGCGATTAACATTTGAAAGTTCGTAATCCTTTTTATGATATGTGCGGGTGGTATTGGTAATGAGGGTGAAATCAGGGAGCAGAGTTCAAATTCCGGGCTAGTCCGTTGCATTCATTTTTCGCACTAATGTCCTTGGGAAAGGCATGAATCCGTTCCTTTTATTCCCAGTCTAGCTATAGGTTAAACAAAGAGCAGGGTAAATTGGCCTTTTAACCTTGGGTGGGAACCAGTCTAAAAAGAAAACTGAATTCTAAACTGCGGGGAAAGCACTGGAAACCACGCCACTATATTTCCCAAGAAGTCATGGTAATTCATAGCAAAGAACGGGGATCTGTAGAGAGGCTTGATCGCCTTACGTTCTGAAGGGGCAAGGTATTTCAAAATACACTTCATATTCTATTCTTCTCTTAAGAAATCGTGTTTTGTAGATAATATATCGTTTAAAACAAGGATGACTATTGTCCCATTCTTTATCAAGTAAACTCCAGTGAATATTGATTTTATTGAAGTTGTCTTGGGTTTAAAATACGTATTGCATTGTTTTAATAGACTCCCACTCCCACCTCGGTCTTTTGAACAACAGTAGAGGTTCATACGTTGTTTCCTGTTTAGGATTGGGTTTCCGGTTCCTTCTAAAATCTACTTCAACTTTATACTACTAAAGTCTCTGAAATTTCATTTACTATTTATTTACCTTTTTCTACTTTCCTCAATAGGAGTAGATAGATTCGCATTTTGTCCGGTTCACGCTCCTCTCTAGCCTTTTGAACAGGAGAAGAGGTTTTTCTATTGTTGTTGATGATTGGGTTTCCGATTCGTTCTAAAACTCTTTCACTTCCACTTGACCGTTGCGTCTAGGTGGTATCATCTTGTTTCGGCTGGTGCTTCTTAATCTGTAACCCTCTACCTCGAGTAGCTCTTGGGACCTGTACAGGGTTAACATTGTAAAAAAAAAAAGCTTGTGAATTTTGAAGACCAGTTCCGCTTCAAAGTCGATTTTTTTCTGGGGAGATGTAGAGCCTCGATGTAGAGCCTCGACCTCTAAAAGAACTCGGCAATGTGTGTATTCAGTGAAAATGACACCAGCAGCCTTAGACCCATTTGTTTATATTCTATTATGGAAAGCTGTTGCAGAATTGAATAGTTTAACTTTATCTTGATTCAAAACTACTTTTGGGTTTTATTTTAAATTTCAAGAAATACAGACTTTAAAAATATTTAGCTGAGACTTGGTATTTCTTTTTCTTTTTTTTTTTTTTTTACATATATTCTAAATCTATAATTTACAATATATGAGCAGGTACTTAAGAAAAATCAGAACTCAAATTTGGCGCGCGAACTGGACATAAATGTACATTGCACCGCTGGAGGTAATAAATTGGTACTATTCAGAGACAGTTTGCCGTATGTCGCCGCTCTGAATTAAGTGATCTGTTTGCTGTGTTTTTCTTTCTGGTTTTTAGAAACACGTTTGGTGATTTTCGCGAAGGCTGGTAAAACACAAAAAAGTCAGTTTGTGTGAAGATTTGTTTTTTATATGGGGAAACAGCTACAGACACTTTTGTAATGTTTCGAGAAGCTTTTAAGAAAGACGCTTTAGGTGATATTTCTGCTTCAGACATAGGGAAATACCACTTAAGGACCAACCACGATCTGTCCGACCCTGAACACGCTGAAATGATAATCGGAATACCTCTGTTAATTTGGTAAGCAGTCATCAACCATTTGTCGCATTTCGCGCCTTGGCTGGAGATGTTCGCCTGTATATTTGATTTTTTTTTTAATCTGGTTTAATTTGAAAAGTGTTCAGTTTTCTTTTGTATTCCACGGGCGCCAGACATTCTGCAGAGACAAGTTTGGTGCAACTCCTTCATCGGCCGTAGAATAAGCAGAATCAGACATATTACCATCCGCTTTCATTTCAAAAGAATCGACGGTGCTCTCTTGAGGTGTCTGAGAAAGGCCACCGACAGGCGAACTGGAAGGAGTTCCGTGTGTAGTCCCCGTGGGAGATAATGTGACCAGTCGCTGTGGTTGATCAACTGATGTGTACAATGGAATGGCTTTAATGGCCAGAGGAGTGGTCACTAAAAAGGCAATAGGCATTCCGTTGCTACTGTCTGTTCCACTTATCTGACCTCCGTTTCGAATAATTTCTGCAATGTCTACCGTTGCAGGCACATTGCGTACAACCGTAGTTCCATTTGAGGAGATATCCATCATCTGGGATTCGTTGGGATCAGAATGCTTTGGGCTTATTTCGCAAAAAGCTTGAGTTCTTTGTTTGTGGCTGTTTGTGTGGAATTGTACTGGGCGGTGACTAGCGGTGATCATTTGAGGGTCCATACTGACCGCCTGAACCGATGGCGGAGAGGAAGGCTGATTACTGAGCACACAAAGCGACCTCGGGTGCCCGTCACGTGACTCAATAGGTGCCGAGAGAGAATGGCCGAATGTTAGTCCCTTTAAAGCTTTGCAGTCGATCGCGGGCGAAACCGGCTCCGTTTGTTTTGTATTGACATCCGGGTTGTTTAATCTGTTGGGCATTTCTTGTTTTAAGTTTTTGCCTTTATTGGTGAAGGAGTCGTTCAAGTGGTTAATGACACGTGCACGGAATTCGGTGTTGATGCAATCTTTCTTGGAGAGATAATCAATCACTTCGTTGATGCAATCATTGAAGCCGTCCCGATATCGTGGATGCTCGCGGTAGGCAAGATCTAGGAAAACAAAAATTATAATCAGGTATGAAAATGCTTGATAAAGTATATCATATCTATCTATCTATCTATCTATCTATCTATCTATCTATCTATCTATCTATCGAGAGAGAGAGAGAGAGAGAGAGAGAGAATGATAGAGATAGATATATATATAGAGAGAGCTCTACTATACAAGTATAGGAGCAATAGAACAGGGAAAAATTCGTGGGTAAGTAATCCAAGTAGATCCAACTAATATAAAATATTAAAACTGATCCACAAAAAAGCGCTCAATATAATTTTATTACATTTTATTATTATATTTCTATGATATTTTATTATTCACTTATATAAGGTAATTTTAGTTAATGAGATTCAAACAATTTACCTCATACAGATTATCATTTCATCCATGGAAAGTAGAAATATATATATATATATATATATATATATATATATATATATTAGTCACTTTTAAACTTTATTTTAGTGGATACTAGTATTTGTGTAAACGCGCCGTTTATTTATTAAACAACATATTTATTTATTTTCGGCCTGAATGTTCGAGAAATTTTATTAAATGAGAATTTGCGCTCTCCGGCAGGATTCGAGTTTGCATTTCCTTGTGCAGAGGTAGCTATATATATATATATATATATATATATATATATATATATATATATATGTAGTCATCCACAGACAGAATGTTTCGATGTATCACCGCTCATCAGTGTGGCTAGACATCAGATTGCCTCAAGTCGAGAAACCTGTCTGATGCCAAATCAAATATTTTTACCCAGAGCTATATATATATATATATATATATATATAATATTCGTTTTAGATTAGTGCGCTAAAAATTTTACATACCCAAAATTCAATTCGTGCATATATTATGCTAGATTAATGCGGTAAAACATTCTTCAGATTAACGATAGTAATTGAAAATTGATTTTGTTTATAGTTACCAATGTACGCATTAACCGCACTAAACAAGGGATTCCTGTATATATATATATATATATATATATATATATATATATATATATATATAGCATAATGAGAAGCCACGTATACTTTCTTAATATGTATATATAGAAAAAAAGTTTCAAATTGAAAATTATAATGTTTTATTTTATGAAAGTATTTATTTATTTATATATATATTTGATATTTCAAATTGTCCTCAATTTTTCATCAGAAATAACTGTTTGTTACAAATAAATTAAAATTACTGTTTGTTAGCAAGTAGCGTCCTTCGCGAGACGCGGACGTCACGTGATATGCAACGTCACTGTTCGGATATTCTAACTTAAATCTAACTGTCATAAATATTTAAAACAATTTTTTTACTATATAAAAAAAAAAAAAAAAAATTAAATTAACTATTGAAATATTTATAAAGATTTAAAACACCTAAGTCCCTATTCAACCCTAGTTTATGTGTATTTAATTTTAAAATCCAATATGTTTTTTTTTTTGCGTGTGAATGTTGAAGTAAAATCGGAATCTATTAATAAACATTTGCAGTTTTCTAATGTGTCCTGATTGATTGTAGTGTTTAGCTATGGGGGAATAAGGGTTGTTTTGACGTATTGTTTGTTTATGGTTATTAAAACGAAATCTAAAATTGTTTCCAGACTCATCAATATATACTATTAGGACATAAGTTGCAGAATAAATAATAGATTACGTTATGGGTATCGCAGGTGATTTAGGTGGCTGTATCCAATATTGGTGTTTAACTGAAAATGTATTAGCTATTATTAAATGTTTAAAAACTAAGCAACGAGGTTTGTTACATTTAAAATTTCCTATTTGGTTTCTATTGTTTAGATCACATCCAAGGTGAGGATAGCTGATAAGTTAGGTGATTGTTTCATTGCATTTATGGGTGGTTTATCGAAAATGTCTTTGATCTTGTTGTCTAATTAAAGGTTCTTGTAATCATTTTTAATTTTTAATTTGTGAACGAAAAGTGTGTGCAACCATGGGGAATGATTTTTTAATAACCATGTGGAATCCGATTTTTTTTTTTTTATTTTTCTTGGATCATTTTAGGAATTGTTTTGAAGTGTGTTTGTATATTTATCAGGATAGTTTTTTTTATTTAATTGAAATTTAAAGGGAATTATTTTATTGTATAGACTTAGTTTGCAAGGAATTGGAAATTTTGTTAAGTTATTTAATGGACTCATGGATCAGAAAATTAAATTAAATTAAACCAAAATCTAAATGGTTTTTAATTTTTCTGAGTCCATATAAGAAAATCTTTTTTACCTTTTTCGTTTGATTCTTAAATTTAACGTAGCTCCATACAATACAAGTCTATTAAATTTTTAATTTAGGGATAAACATATTGTTGAGTCTGCAAACAATTTAGATTTTTTGGTTTAATGGGTTAAATGCAAAACAATAAAAAATTGTAAAAATAAAGACTAAATTAACACACCCCAAAGAAAATAAAAACAAAATGTTTGTTTAATTTATTATAACGTCTAAAAAAGATTACAAAAAGACAACAAATGGATATAAATGCAATGAAACAATGCTCCATTTTGGTAAATTTATTGTAACAAATCGCAGAAAAAGCTAATACAACCCAAAAGTGAAAAGGTTTTAAAAAAAAATATTTTTTAAATGTCCTAATAGTGGATATATTGGAGTCTGAAACAATGGATAACCATTAGTGTTTTAAATAAATTAGGAAAATTAAAAACTGCTTTATTAATAGATTTTTTTTTTTTTTGAAACATATTGATTTTAAAATTAAATACAAAATTAGGTTTGAAAAGGGACTTAGGTGTTTTTTTCTTTATAAACATTTCAATTTTTTTTTTTTTTTTTTTTAGATATAGTAAAAAATTGTTTTAAATAACAGTAGACGTTGAATATCCGAACAGTGACGTTTTGACGTCCGCGTCTCGCGAAGGACGCTACTTGCTAACAAACAGTAATTTTAATTTATTTGTAACAAACAGTTATTTCTGATGAAAAATTGAGGACAATTTGAAATATCAAATATATATATAAATAAATAAATACTTTCATAAAAATAAAACATTATAATTTTCAATTTGAAACTTTTTCTATATATATATATATATATATATATATATATATATATATATATATATATATCTTTAAATCTTTTCAAGTTCACGAATTAAGTTATTGGCAACTGTAGAAAATTGCTCAAGAAAAGTACTAAAACTTTCTTTCAAATAATTCTTATTTTCACAAATACTGCCAATCTCATTTGAGAGCCTCTTCAGGAGTTTATAATATGTTAATGTCAATACAGTAGTTCGGTAAATTTAAAATAATTTATTCATTGTTTGTTTACACTAGAGCGTTTCAAATTCAAAATTTTCAATTAATCATGGGAGATAATTTTTTATTATTTTAAAAAAGAAAAAGGATTTATTTATAATATTTTTTATTGATTATTTAATATAAAACTTTGCTATTACAAACATTTAAGAACATTGTAGCTATATTCATAGTTGAAATTATTTTTGTATGTAAGTAAGGTGTTTGATTGATTTGTTGGTCGATAAATGATTGATGGAGGATAAAGAAAATGACAGACGAGGGATGAAATGAATAAAATGAGAGATGGAAATGATAGGTGGAGGATGTAAGGAAAAACAAACACGGGAAAAAATGGAAGAAATGATTGGCTGGAGGATAGATGAACATGATAGGTGGAGGACAGAAGGAAAGACAAGAGACAAAATGATATGTTGAAGGATCGATAGGAATGATGGGTGGAGGAAAGAAGGAAAGAAATGAAACAATTTATGGGTTGGAGGACAGATGGAAATTGATGGAGGACAAAAAGAAATTATATGTAAGGGAAGAAATGAAAGAATGGATGAGTTGGGGGATAGATGGAAATGATAGATGGTGGACAAAAGGAAACGATATGTAAGGGAAGAAATGAAAGGGATGATAGGCTGGAGGACAGATGGAAATGATAGATGGAGGACAGTATGAAAAGGAAAACGTAGATAAGGGATAGAATGAAGTAAATGAGGGGTTTAGGTTTAGCTGTTAATGATAGGTGGGTGTGAGAAGAGGAGGGAAGCTGGTAATGGTGGAGGACTAAAAAGAAAACGCCTTTTCTCAAGAACACGAAGAATACTTACTATCTTCTGGATTGATTAATTCTTGGAGTTTTTTCAATTTTCGGACAGTCAACTCAAGAATTTCAGCTTTCTCTAATTTTGAAATATGGGAATTCTGTAAAAAAGATAAATAAAATATATATTATAAACCAATGGATATAATTAAATAAATTGGTCGACAAAAATTGATAAGCACCATTTTCTGGGGGTTATTAGGAGTTTATTTCCTTTCCACTACTTCTGCAAATTCTTTGAATCAGGAAGAGTGGTGTGAAATGCGAAATATAGCATTCTATCATTCTCAATTCTTAAATGATTTTTCTGTTAAACAAGTAGAAACTGAGGTAGTACCAATTATCTTTAGAGAACTGGGAACATTCTTACAGTCTCTTGTAAAGATACAATAAATATTAGAGATAAAATAAAATACTGAAACGATACAACCTACTAACTGTCGTAGACTGACGGTCTGGTTTCAAGTTGCGAAGAAAAGCAAAAGAATTTATATGAAAGAAAATATTATCAGTCTTTATTTCTGAGATAAGGTATTATGTACACTATTTACATTATTCGGATTATTGTCGCCATATTTATTACAATGTTTAGGCCGTTATACGCTCTGGTCTTCTTCAGGTGGTTGGAATGTCGAACTGAACCCTTTATTTCGCTCACTGGGGGTAGGCTGTTCTAGTTCCACGTGCTATGTTTAATAGATGCCAGTTATCAGTTATCTCCTGTTAATTTCCCTCTGAATTTCTCCATTGCCTCAAACGGGTATTGAACTCACACTGTTTGGGTCCTGTCACTGGATCTAACTAACGCCTTTATCCACTATGCCACATGTCCTTGGGGATATCTGTGTATGAAATAAAGGGTTCAGTTCGACATTCCAACCACCTGAAGAAGGCCGTAGCGTACAACGGCAGAAACGTTCTAATAAATATGGCGACAAAGATGAGGATGACAGTCCGAATAATGTAAATAGTGAAGAAAATATTAGTCAAAATACATAATAATCATTGAAACGACGTCATCTAATAAAGAATAAAAATAAAATTAACAGGAATTAAAAATCTGGAGAACTATCTTGAATTTGTCAGAAAATGAAACAGTTTTAGAATATAACGGTGGCAGTTCCGATACATGTTGCAAAGGATTTGGAAGAATTATTGGAGACGACAGAATAAATAAAAGCAAGCGGAATATCAAATACGGTCATGTCGTATTTAAAGTGGCTTGACAACATTTGGAAATCACCGGATACAACAGTTAAGAAAAGTGAGGGAAAAATGAAAGTCTAATCGCAGATGAGCAAAAACAATGTGTTAGGAATTTTAAAGGCCTTGTTCCATAGTCCAAGATGGTGACTACTAAAAAAAACTACGTAATTCATAATATATTCATCAGGCCAGAGTAAATTCATTGTTCATATTTTGATAGAAATAATGGCATCGATTGATGTTGATGATGATGATGATGATAATGATGACGACGATATAGAAGACAAAGAAATTCCCTTATGACATGACCAGTAGCTGTTCTACGAAAAAACAAGTCGAGATTTTGTGGCAATGAGCAACTTACGTCTTTTTTCATGTCCTGGATGAGAAGACTTTTTAACTGAGTCAAACAATTGTTAATACGCGCCCGTCTTCGTCTTTCCATAAGGGGCTTGTTACTCTGAAAGAAAGAAGAAAATAGCATTTTATTAAGACTGGAAAGAAAATAAGAATCCAAACAGGTGAGTAACATGAGTGAAAAGAGATTATATATTTATCTATATTATTTACCTATTTTCATTATCTATCTATCTATCTATCTATCTATCTATCTATCTACATTACCTATTTTTATTATCTATCTATATTTATTATCTATTCATTTTCATTATCTGTTTACATTATTCGGGCTATTGTCCTCATCTTTGTCGCCATATTTATTTACAACGTTTCGGCCGTTGTACGCTCCGGCCTTCTTCAGGTGGTTGAATGTCGAACTGAACCCTTTATTTCGCTCACTGGGGGTAGGCTCTTCTAGTTCCACGGGCCATGTTTAATGGATGTCAGTTATCAGTTATCTCCTGTTAATTTCCCTCTGAAAGTTCTCCACTGCCTTAACCAGGTATTGAACTCACATAAAGGCGTTGGTTAGATCCAGTGACAGGACCCAAAGAGTGTGAGTTCAATACCTGGTTAAGGCAGCGGAGAACTTTCAGAGGGGAATTAACAGGAGATAACTGACAACTGGCATCCATTAGACATAGCACATGGAACTAGAACAGTCTACCCCAGTGAGCGTAATAAAGGGTTCAATTCGACATTCCAACCACCTGAAGAAGGCCGGAGCTGGGATAGACTGTTCTCGTTCCAAATGCCATGTTTAATGGATGTCAGTTATCAGTCATCTACTGTTAATTCCCCTCTGAAAGTTCTCCACTGCCTTAACTGAGTATTGAGCTCACACTGTTTGGGTCCTGTCCCTGGATCTAACTAACGCCTTTATCCACTGTGGCATGTGTCCTTGAGGACATCTGTGCACGAATTTCAGGGTATTATAAACCTAATGTCTTCAGCAACCCTTTTTTACCAGTGCTCATATTTCAGTTTTTGCTTTTATTATTTCATTTTTTTTACCAGACCTCATATTGCAACTTTTTGTTGTTATCATTGCTTTTCTCTGGCACTCCTTATTACTGGTTCCCATATTGTATTTATTTCTATATTTGGTCGGCTCAGGAGATTTTTGTGGTCTAGCATATGTGCTGATTCCTTAAGTTTACGTATTTTTCAATGGTGTTCTTTGTCTATGATCTCAACCTGATCCCACAGAGGGCGGTGATCTCACTTCTCTCTCCAGATGCCGAAGGAAACGTTGGTTGGAAACAGAGGCAATCGTGCTCAGTTGTCATGCAATATCAATTCTATAATGTTGAACAATTTCCTTATAGATGAAGAGGAGACTTGCTACAACAGAAATATGGTTCTACAGAAGGATAATAAGGATACAAAGTGGAACATGCGAGCAATAGGGAAGTTTTAAGTAAAATGGAAATAGAAAGGTCAATTATACATAAAACCAGAAAGTGGCAGTTTAAATTTCTGGGACGCATAATTAAAAATATTGATTGCTTTGTTTTTTTGACGGCTTATCAACCATTTTAAAGTTATTTAAATCGAGACATTTTTAGAATTTAAGATTTTTTTTAAGATAATGATTTTCTGATAAAGGTCCTATTATTTGACGCAGAGTTGATAGGGATAAGAGATGGATTTTTGTCTTTCCCAAAAGCATTTGCACGTAAGTGAATGTAACGAACCCGACCCGAATTCGAACTCCGTTTTCTCATCCCAAACCGTTATCCATTGCACCATTGATATTCCCGAGCGGTCATCCATCAATGTATTGAACGGGCTCAACGTTGCTTAACTTCGGTCACTGTACATGAACAAGTGCTTGAACGTGATATATCCGTAGAACGATAATGAGGAAAGAAGGCTTGCAGAATTTTACACTCATAAGGCAAATTGAAGGCAAGAAAAACAGAGAGAAAGCGAGTAACGTACCTGACGAGTTTTTGTAACTGGATGGCAGAACAGGAAAATAGATGGCAGGAGATAAAATGAAAAGACAAACGTTGCTAAGAGTTACGAAAAAAAAGGATGTTATTGAGAGCCACAATCGCCTACGCCCTGAAGGGACATGGCATATTGAAGAAGATTGACTTGTGTGATAGACACAAGTCATGAATCTCTATTAATCACCACAGAGATCCTTCCCTTCCCACCATGAGAATGTCTGACACTCAACTTCTGGAGAGCACCTCTTTGCGGCTGCTCGGTCTCACATTGACTGCTGACCTGAGATTGAACAAATACATTGAGTCAATAGCTTTGTCCCCCGTTAGCTCCCTATGCAGCGCCAGGACATTTTTCTCGCCGGAGTCGATCCTTCAAATCTACAAATCAACCATTCGCCCTTGCATGGAGTATTGCTGCCATATATGGTCTGGAGCCCCTTCTGTTTGTCTCAAGGTCCTTGATAAAATCCAGAGACGGATATGCAATGTAATTGGCCCTGATCTGGCATCTCGTCTGCAGTCACTCTTTCACAGACGTGCCGTTGCCTCTCTCTGTCTTTTTTACAAATACTTTCATAGTAATTGTTCCCATGAACTGCTTTCGCTGGTTCCCAGACTTCATGCGTCCTACGAGGCTGGCATCCCACTCTCACCCTTTCACTGTTGAAACTGTTAAATGTAGCCGCCTCTTCTACTCCAATAGCTTCATATCTCGTACCTCTCGTCTGTGGAACTTCCTCCCCTTTTTCTGTTTCCCTGATAGCTATAATCTCCAACTATTCAAATGTAATGTCAATCGACATCTCCAGTTGCCTTGATCTATCCACTATCCTTCTCCTCATCCTTTCCTCTATCATTCCTATCTGCTCTCGCTCCGAATCCCCTATAACCCCTTGCGTGCTAGTGGCTTCCCGCCTTGCTTTAGGTGAAATGCTTAAAAAAAATGGGCGTTTTTCGATTTCTTCAGGCTTGGCAAAGGGTCAACAACAGATTCTGTTGACCGAAGAAATTGTCTTGTGTACAGAAATAGTGTATAGCACAAGCTAATACCATTTAGAAGCATGAAAGTTTATCAGGATGTCGACGATGTTTACGACTGCGCAGAAGGGAAATGTCTGATTTATGACAGCCGCCATTTTGCTTGTTTATTTTATTTATTTGTAATGGGAAAAGATGAAGAGAAAATTGAAAAGTAAAAAAAAAAAATGAAAAAGAGAAAACAAAATCATGACCCTCAGCTAAAATTTACCGGAAGTGTCACCGCATCGGCCAGTTGGACATAAAAAAACTAATCTCCAGGTGTCACTTACGTGTCTGAAAAGGATTTTCACAAATAGTAGAAGGATAGGCACACGCTGACACAAACGATATTTCACACACAGAATAAAAGCCAGCACCAAAAACACATCTTTCCTCCCCACCTCCTTTAAAAATGTCTACCTTTAGGAGACGGTAATTATAATCAGCGAATTGAGTTCGAATTTTGACTAGGGTAGTTAGGAACAATTCGCATTAACGCTCTTTAATTTAGAATGGCTTAAAATCTCTCCTTGTGTTTATTTTTTCCTTTTGACAAAGTTCTTGACACTGCTATGCCTCTTATGTTTATATGAAAAAGAGTATACCAATCAAGAGTTCTTCCTTGCTGCTGGTATGGTGTCAACGAGTAAAGTCTGTCTTGTGCTATTTGGAGAGAATTTAGGTACAGCCAAGTAATAACATTTTGTTTTCAAGATGACAGAAACCGATAACGATCATGGACAGGAAAATATTTTCGAAAGTTGGTAAGACTGGCAGCCAAAACAAACTCAAAAGTAAAACACTATATATATATATATATATATATATATATATATATATATATATATATAATTTGGAGAAGATTATCACTTAGCTGAGCTACGTAGTTTCATGAGCATATCTACGAAACTTTGTAGTAGGCATGACTGAACCAACAACACTCAGCTAAGTGATAAACTTCTACAAATTAATTCTATTAACGTGCTATCCTAACTTTTGATATCGACCACTTGAATTTATAACCGATTATATGCTGACTAATTAAGTCTTTTCCTTATTTATTTATTGATTGAATTGTATTGCTCTTTATATAAAATTATACATTAACTTTTTAATAGCTTTATATTAAAAATACATACTTGGAATAATCCCTACCACCTACGGCTTTGGTATTTTATTTATATATATATATATATATATATATATTTATATTTATATAGGATACCCATATTTGAGTAGACGTTGCGTTTATTTTAAAAAGTACTGTATTTCGCCTATCGGCATGAATATATATATATATATATATATATATATATATAACTGAATTTGGCTCTCTGGGCAACAGGCGTATTTCGTATAGAAAACGTTAAAATTTCCCTTTCTCTCTGCCGTGCGACAATAGCTGAGGATCTCTGACTGGTGCCAAATCGGACTGGTTTCGATCTTGACTTCAAGCGAACGGATGTCTAGCTACACTGAAGAGCTGTGATACAGCAAAACAATCTGTCTGTGAATGATAATATATATATATATATATATATATATATATATATATATATATATATATGAGGTTGATCAAAAAGGTATTGTGACTATATATATATAGTATATATATATATATATATATATGATATGAGGTTGATGAAAAAAGGTATTGGGCTATATATATATATATATATATACATTAAGTTATAAAGTTCTCGAACACTTCCTTTTTTATAGCAGTGCTTTGAAGGAAAGTGTGTAGAGTGTGGTCGTCTCAGCACACGACAGAAGTTATATCAGTGATCATGTCTTGTACTGTAGTTTTCTGGCCACGAACAACATTGCCCAGATCCGATACCTACTATATTACACAGATCTAGTCCCTTGCTGCTTTTTCCTCTTTCCAAAAATAAAATACCACTTAAAAGAAACAAGATTTCAAGACGTCGAGGCAATCCAAGAGCAAAATTGTCCACTTGTTAGATTAAGATCTGCACCATCTTAGATTAAAGATATCTTACTGGAATTCTCCGAGGTTTTATAACACTATTGGACTCTACTTTGAGCAATAAGAATGTATAATTTCTCTCCAAGCTTAACAGAAGAATTGTGATGAATTCGA